CAATCGTTTGCTTTCCTCTATTTCTGCCATTCGTGACCTGTTTCTCTGTCTCCGCATTTTGGCTGCTTCCCTGTGTTGATAGAGAGGCTTTGTGTGCTAGGTGTCCTGTAGGGCCCAGTGGCTCAGCCTCCCCAGTTACCTGAGGTGGACACTCTTGATGCACCCCCTTGTGGGCTTTGTGCACAGTTGTTGTAGCTCTGCCTTGGTTGTTATAGGCTCACTGGGAGGAATTGACCTCCCGGCCAATTGGCTGTGAGATTCAGCTGTGTCTATGGTGGGAGAACTTCTGTGCTGGAGACACCCTTATGGGGCCAGACTTGCTTCAGTGGGGCTTTGGTGTTCACTGAGTCTGCCCCCTCAGTATGTCCCTTATGGATCTGAGGAATTCTAATGTGGATAGTCCCACTCTGACCACTGGGTACACTGGTTCTTGGATCTCTAAGGAGGTGCTAATTTAGCTTCTGCCTGAGGCTACCCAGGAGCTATGGAGACATCTGCAGATTCCTCTTCTTTGTTTGGGGTTTGGAGGTGCCCAGATGAGGCCCAGCTGTGAAGCAGTGCAAGCTGCTGTGGGGCTTTGGGCCTTCTTTTGGATGTTCTGGGTCTCTCTGACCCAGCTGCAGTTTGTTAGGTAATTTTCAGATTGCAAAGGGCCAGGCCTTTCATATGCAAAAGCCTCTGCGCACAGCTTGGGTGAGGCGGGGTCTCAGGGGATTCAACAGGGTGGAGGCCCGGAACTGGAGTTCAGAACAGTCGGGAGCTTTCGACTCCCTCGGGTTGAAAAAGACAACAGTGTCCTCAGTTGCCAGCCCTTTCCACGTGCGCCGCATTCTCAGTTGCCAGCCCTTTCCGCATGCGCCTCCGTACCTCTGCACTTTACTTCCGCACCTCCTCTGAGTCTCAGTGTGCTTTTCTCTTTCCTTCTAGTTGTAGAATTTCCACTCAGCCAGCCTTCCTGTGGTTCTGGATGATGTCCGTTTTGTCTTTTAGTTGTATTTTTGAAGTGGTTGTGCGAGGCAGCAATTTCTGGTGTTTACCTATGTCACCATCTTGGTTTCTCTCCTGATTATGACTTAATTTTATAATAAGCATTTAGATTTTACAGTGTGTAGCGTGCATATATTATTTTGGAGAATTAAAATGAATTGATATCTAGAATAACTAGGGGCCCAGTGCATGAATTTGTTCACCTTGAAAGGAACTGTGGGCCATGAGGCTGCGGTGGGCACAGGGGTTGGTCTTGGCCCATCCTCTGCGCCCTTTTCTGGCCTTTCCCGCCACAGCCCCTGGTCCCGTCTGCCAACAGCCACACTCCCTCCGGCCCTGCTTGCACCCACTGATGGCATGGAGTTATTGCGGCCAGCGCCAGTAGTGGGTGCAAGCAGGGCCAGCAGGTGTGAGTGGCGGCTGCTGCCCTGATTGCCCTTCAGGAGCAGGGGGAGGGGGAGAAGCCCTGAGGGCTCTGAGCAATTGGGGCTGGTGCCGGGCACCAGCAGTAGGTGTGAGAGGTGGCTCTGACGCCAGCAGCAGATGCAATCAGGGCTGGTGCTGGCAGCAGGTGCGAGTGCCTGGTGGCATCATGGCACACAGGAGCAAAGAATTTTCAGTAACCATCAGATACTACCCCTAATGACAGTGACCAGTGCATCACCTTGGTTTGGCGCCCCCACTTACCTGATCCACTATCCTGCCGCAGCAGATGCCTGCCATGTTCTGCGCTCTTGCCACTTGCTGCCGATGCCCACCATGTTCTGTGTGTGCCCCTTGGTGGTCAGCGCATGTCATAGCGACCGGTGTTTCGGTTGTTCCGTGTTTCGGTTGTTCCGCCTTTCGGTCTATTTACATATTAGGGTTTTATATAAATAGATAAGTCCAAATACTTCTTCAATCAGATTATTACTTTTAAAAATATCTGGCCAAGAGTTTTTATAGTGCCCAGGATGTTAGTATAATTGTGATATGAAAAGGGTAATAGTTCAAAACCAGCAAGATGGGACGTTATTGGTATTTTCTTTTCTTATTGGTCTCCACTATTTAGCAAGAAGATGCTTTACTTAAATTAACACATTTGATTGAAGATGAGGTAAATTTGCCAATTGTAAAATTTAATTTATATGTTTACTATTTTCTGAATATTACAAATGTTCTATCAAATATTCTTTATTATTTGTATAATTTAATGAAAAGTCCCATGGGATCAGAAAATGGCCCTCAAGTACAGTATCTTTTGAATTAGTAGGAAGTATTGACCACAATTTTAAAACTTCTTTTCTTTGCAAAATGAAAGAGCCTAAAATTTATGATATTTGTTTTTAAATTCTTTAGAAACAACTGGAAAGAATCAACGATGCTCTTTCCTGTGAATATGAATGCCGTCGGAGGATGTTGATGAAGCGATTGGATGTAACAGTGCAGTCCTTTGGATGGTCTGATAGAGCTAAGGTAAGGCTGTTTTCCCATTTGTGTCCTGTAGGTGGTACTCTGTGACAGCTCTTCAGAATCCCTTGTCTGTTAATATGTAACTGGGCCACATTTGCACTTTTTCACTGTATCTGAAACACATACCCAGGCCAACTACTGGTCTTATATGATGATCCTGGCCTTGTGTAGATCCCTGTTTGCAGTTATCTAGATTTCTATCCAAATGTTTCATATTTATTTTAAACTCATAGCTGTTTTGACTTATGCAAGGATTGCATTAAGGAAGGCATCAAATGAAACAGTGAGATAGGTATAGTGAGCTACTGATCAAGAAAGCAGGATATAAGAATAGATACAGGTAGTATGGATGCCGAACAAGTCTTCTTAAAAGTATCTTAAGGCTGTGGAGTATGGTCCACTTAAAGAGAGGGTTGGAGAATGGAGGCATCCACAAGTAGAATCTGCAGGTAGCTTTCTAGACAGCTGTTTGTCATCATTGCCATTTTATGCCTGTACCCAGGCTTTATGTAGGATTCCCTGCCCTACTTTGCAACATACTCTGGAAACTCTCCAAAGAGGAAGCTGAGAATCATTTGCTTCCTTTGTTTCAGGGTTCAGGGTCTTGTGCTCCTTGATGCCCAGTGTCTGAAAAATCACTGGTTCACGTGGGTTGTCAGTTTTAAAGTTGCTTCAGGTTGCAAGGTTAATCGGTGCATGTTACTCTTCATATTAACTGGGCATTTCTTCTGCCCATGTTGTATTAGCTCGGGTCGTTTATGCAGCTTCAGCTGATGCCTGGACTGAGCTGGAACATCCAAGATGCTTGTTTCGCATGTCTAGGTTCTGCTGTCTACTGGGGTGCTTCGGTTGTCTTCCTGGCTTTGATGTGGTTTCTCCATGTGGTGTCTTGTATCAGTTTCCTATGGCTGTAGAAACATATTACCACAAACTTAGTTGCATATATAATACTAGAGGCCCGGTGCCTGCAATTCCTGCACTCATGGTGGGGAGGGGTCCCTCAGCCTGGCCTATGCCCTCTCACAATCCGGGAGCCCTCAGGGGATGTCCAACTGACGGCTTACGCCCACAGAGACCAGGCCTAAGCCAACAGTCAGACATCCTTAGTGATGCCATGGAGGCAGGAGAGGCTCCCGCCATTACTGCTGTGCTAGCCAGCTGTGAGCCCGGCTTCTGGCTGAGTGACGCTCCTCCTGTGGGAGCACACTACCACCAGGGGGCAGCTCCTGCATTGAGCATCTGCCCCTTGATGATCAGTGTGCTTCATAGCGACTGGTCGATTTGCATATTAGCCCTTTATTATATAGGATAGGAGCTCAGTGCATGAATTCGTGCACCTTGAAAGGATCTGTGGGCCATGAGGCTTCAGTGGGCATAGTGGGCAGTTCTCAGCCCATCCTCCACACCCCACACAGACCCTCCTGCCGCAGCACTGCAGCCTCTGGTCCTGTCTGCTGGCAGCCCTCCTCCCGCTATGCATGAATTCGTGCATTGACAGCGCTGGCCCCACTTGTACCCACTAACGGTGTGGAGTGATTGGGGATGGCACCAGCAGTGGGTGTGAGTGGGGGCCGGCGCTGTCAGCAGGTGCGAGCGGTAGCTGGCGCCCCAATTGCCCCTCAGGAGCAGGGGGAGGTGGAGAAGCCCTCGGGGGCGATCAGGGCCGGCAGCCGCCACTTGCAGCTGCCACTTGCACCCGCCGATGGCACCGAGTGATAGGGACTGGCACCGGGAACTGGCAGCAGGTGTGAGTGGCGGTTCCAGCTGCAGGTGTAAGCTGGGCTGTCGCCAGCAGCAGGTGCGAGAGGCAGCTGCCAGCCCTGATCTCCTCTTAGGGGCAGGGGGAGATAGAGGAGCCCTGAGGGGGGATTAGGGCCAGTGCTGGGTGCCGGCAGCAGGTGCAAGCGGCGGCTCTGGTGCTGGCATTGGGAGCTAGCGGGACCAGTGCCGGCAGAAGGTGTGAGCGCCTGGCGGGACCGTGGAGCATGGGAGCAAAGAATTTTCAGTAAGCACCAGAGGCTCTCCCCAATGACAGCAACCGGCACCCCCACTCACCTACTCCACCATTCCACCACGGCCGATGCCCGCTGTGTTCCATGCTTTGCCACTTGCTGCCAACACTTGCCTTGTTCTGCGCATGTCCCCTGGTGGTCAGTGACATCATAGTGACTGGTTGTTCGGTTCTTCCACTGTTCGGTCTATTTGCATATTAGGATTTTATATATATAGTTACATTTATTCTCTTAGTGTTCTAAAGATAACAATCCTAAGTGAAGATAATTGGCAGAGTTGCATTCTTTCCAGACGCTTCACAGGAGAATCTGTTTTCTTGTATTTCCTATCTTCCAATGCCACCTGTGTACCTTGGCTCTTGACCTTATCCTCTATCTTCAAAACCTGTTGTGTAGGAAAATTTGACCTTTTTCTCTCTGCTTTCATTGTCACTTCACCTGCCCCTGTGGCTCCTGTCTCTCTTAGAAGAATCCTTGTGATTACACTGGGCCCATCCAGATAAGCCAGGATAATCCTTCCATCTCAAGACCCTTAACTTAATCACATCTGCACCTGCAAGGTAACATATTCACAACTTTCAGGGATTAGGATGTGGACATCTTTGTGGGGCCATTATTCAATTTACCAGATGTCTCATCTTCCTTCTAATTGGATTTTATTTTTTCTTGCACTATATTTTACTATCATGTGCTGTTGCTTCTTTTTTCTCTTTCTTTTGTACTTATATACATATATACTAGAGGCCCGGTGCACAAAAATTTGTGCACTCGGGGGGTGGGGGTGTCCCTCAGCCCGGCCTGTGCCCTCTCGCAGTCTGGGACCCCTCGGGAGATAATGCCCTGCTGGCTTAGGCCTGCTCCCGGGTGGCAGAGGGCAGACGCAATCCCTAGGTGCAGCCCCTGGTCAGGCTCAGAGCAGGGCCAATTGTGGAGTTGGGGTGCCGCCCCCTGTCATGCACAGAGCAGGGCGATCGAGAGGTTGTGATGCCACCCCCAGTCACGCTCAGGGTAGGGCCGATTGGAGGGTTGGGGCACCGCCCCCTGTCACACTCAAGGCAGGGGTGGGGGGGAG